GAGGTATAGCTAAATCAAATGAAATTTCTATTTTTAATTTGTTTTGTTTTGTTTTTTGCGGTACCAGGGATCGAACTTAGGACCTTGCGGTTGCAAGGCAGGCAGCAGCACCATTGAGCTAAATCCCTGGCCCATCTATTTTTAATTTGAGGAATCTCCATACTGATTTGCATAGTGACTGTAGTAGTTTACATAGTACCAATAATGTTGAAATGTTCATTTCTTCCCCCACACATCCTTGCAGCATTTTTTATGTTCTTGATGATAGCCATTTTGACTGGAGAAAGATGGAATCTCAGGGTTAATTTGCATTTCTCTAATGGCTAATGACGATGAACATTTTTTCCATGTACTTATTAGCCATAAGTATCTGTTTAGTTCATTTGCCCATTTTTTTAACTGGGTTGTTTGTTTTGTGAGGGGTTAGTTTTTATTTCTGTATATACATTCTAGATATTAGTCCTGTATCAGAAAAGTAGCTAGCAATAATTTTTCCCATTCTGTAGGTTGTCTCTTCACTCCATTTCCTTTGCTGTGCAGAAACTTTTTAATGTAATCCTATTTGTTGATTCTTGGAATTATTTCTGGTGGTATTGGAGTTCTGTTCAGGAAGTCCTTGCCTGTGTGTATGGATTCAGGTGTTCCCCTATGTCAATGACAGTGAATCTTTTAGAGATTTCAATGACACAGACAGCCCACTGTGGCACATGTGCCGTAGATTCGCCACCACTGCCCTATGCGATCTTCAAGCATTTTCAATATTTAAGTCTTTGATCTATTTTGATGTAAGTACAGGGTGAGTGATATGGGCCTAGTTTCATTCTTCTGCACATGGATTACCAATTTCCCACAGTTTATGTTTGTTTTAGGACCTTTTGTGGACCAGAAGGTTGAAGGTACTGAGAATTGAAACCAAGGCTGCAAGGAGCTGCAGCTCCAGCCCCTTTAAAATTTTTTCTTTTTTAAATTTTGAAACAAGATCTCAAACTAGGCTCAAATTTGCAATCCTCTTGCCTCAGCCTCCCAACTGCTGTTTTTACAAGTATGTACCACCATGCCTGGCTTTTAATTCCACTTTTGCTGATGGTCTGACCCTTCAGAGAGCATAGGTATTATGGATAGTTCTCAATTCTTTTTTGTTTTTTAAATTTTTGTTTTATTGGTACATTTTAGGTATACAGTATAATGACATTCATCATTGGAAATTTGCACCTTTACATAATCTCTCTTGGTTCTTATTTTTCCCCC